GGGAACAATTTTAACATTTTGCAATACAAATTTAATTTCACTGGCATCAGTTTATCATCAACATTCAAACCATGGCATTAAGATTTGGGGTGAATAATCAATATTTTCAAGGCTAGAATTTAAAGAGTTGATTTGTTGCTGCTGCTGTTGTTGTCATCCTCAAAAAGTACCTGCCACTTTGATGTTGTTTTGCCTATTCAGGAAGTATTCTCTTCAATCTGGATTGCACTTATTTGGTCACATGATGTCAATTGTACCCAAATCCAGTTCCAGGAAGCATTGCCCCCATTAACACATGACTTTATTTATCTGTTTCTTTGCTTAGAATTTATATCCTGCCTTTCCACCAAAAATGGTGTCATTTAAACTCACCTCTGTTATGTTGCTATTTGATATCTTGTTCCTTATGTGATCTCTGGCTGCCTGAGATCAACCATTTGGCTGATCCACATGAAAGAAGGAAACAAGCACAGGAATTAGAAGCAAAACAAGCACTGACACAGTTCCTAGGGGAGACAACAGAAATTAATGGAATATATTAAAGGGATTTTTGAGAAAGATATATTTTAATGTTCCATCCCAGTACTGTTTTTACCTTGAAATCTGAAACAAACAAACTGGGTGCATAATTAATTCATTAATTACAGATCAACTGATTTCTAATCAAAACTCAAGGTACATATTCCCAAATGTACTCACACATCACCACAGTCTGCAGCTGCAGTCTTCTGTATAGAGTCTAGCATTAGTTTCCATTGAGCTGAATGGAACTTCTATCTCAGTTAAGCAACCATAGGAATATATTCTCAATAAATCTCAGCTCATGGTGTCAACTGCTTTTTTTTTTTTAGATTAATGGAGCAATGATTTAAACAGGAGGTTACCTGGATAGGGTGAGGCTTGGCCACCTGCTGGGGTAAGAACCATGCATTTTGCATACTTTTCAGGATGAAACATTTTTAAAATATTTGGTTTCATAGGAAGCCGACTCATTTTGAGTGAGACATTTGGTCCACCTAGCTTAGCAGAGTGATCCTCTCTCCGGAGTTTCTACAGGAGGATTTTTCCTGAGCCCTTCTGCAAAGACTAAGGATGGAGTACTTTTTGCCTGCAAAATATTCCCTCTACCATTGAGCGATGCTCTTAACTTCCTTCCTTCCCAAGCATTATATGTGAAGATTCAAGATTTTTGTAGGTTTTATTGCTTCTCTACAACACTGGAAAAAGTCCCCCCCCCCGAAACAGCCTTGCCCAGTATCAAGCATATTTTATTATCTTTTTTAATTCAGTTGTGAGGTCTGTATTAGATCATTAATTTAAAGCCTAGCATAGTTAAATGCATACCTTTTAATTTAAAGATGTATTGCATTGTGAAGGCCATAATCCTAACATCTTTAATGTTGTTCATCTTCCATTCATTCTTGCATAACTGCTTTTCTTCTCTTCCACTACCATTTTTCTTTGTTTTTCTTTTTTTCTTTAAAATATATTACCTGGTAAGACTGCAGCAGAAACTGTATTTTTTTTGATTATGCAAAAGTTATTCATTTAGAGATGGAATGTATGATTAAGGCTATTAAGTATTTACAACGCATACTGTATTTCTATACTGCCCAGCTCCTACAGAAAATTCCAGGGTGCCCAACTGCTTCAGATTAATAAAAGAGAGAAAAAGAGACAGAGAGTAAAAAAATGGTAGCCCAACTTCATCATAAAAACCCAGTGGGACAAAATATAAAACCAAAAAGGACAAAATAATCCAATCAAGCCACTTTCCAAAAGTTTATTCCAACAAAATCATATTGAAAACCTTTCAGAAAGCCAAGAGAGAAGTTGCAATGTATACCTCCAGAGGCAGTGTAATCCACAAAGTTGGAGCTGTCACTACTAAGTATTACTTTTGTACATGTATTCAAGACACCATGGAAGTGAATTAAACAGATAGTACCCTCTGAATTGTGAACTCTAAAGAAAGGCTGGTAAGGGATGGGGTTTGCTCCCTTGGAGAGTAGAAAAAGCAGTCTGAGAGATCCTTCAGTCTCCCTGCTGTAAAATAGTGGAAGGAAAGAAATATGTATGAATATATTCTATGAGCAGCAAAGCGTTTTTCAAACAAATACTGATTGTCTTCAGCCTCCCCAGACTCCTAGTTCAGGGTCATATATGTATTATCCAGAAATCAAAGGATGCATGCATGTTACACATTACAAGTGAATCATAGCCATGTTCCCCTTTTAAGTGGGAAATCTTGCTTCTGGTGGGATCATTTCAAGGGTGGATTTTTTTTTTAGAAGCAGGGTGTTTGCACATGAGACAGCCAGTGTGGTGTAGTGGTTAAAGCGCTGGACTAGAAACCAGGATGTCATGAGTTCTAATCCTCCCTTAAGCATGAAAGCCAGCTGGATGACTTTGGGCCAGTCTATCTCTCTCAGCTCAACCCACCTCACAGCACCACCTTGAGTTGTAGAAAATAAAGGTGGGGTATAAATATAATAATAAATAAGTACAATAAATGTGCACATTGAACTCTCAAGAATTATTGATTGATTGACTTTATATAGGCACCACCCAACTCGAGACTGACTCAGGGTGGCTCACAATGTAACAAACAGGCTTACAAAAAATACAAAATAGATAAAAAAACCAAGATGATGAATCCAGCCAACAACAGAAAGAGATATACAAACACATCCAACAAGAAACTCCAGCTACCCTAGTGCAAGGCCTGGGAGAACAGCCAGGTGTTTAAGATCAACAAAAATACATATTTGTAAGGCTTAACACAGACTTACAATGGAGGGGAAGGGTAACTGTATCCTTGCTGAAGTACTTTTTTCTATTTCACAAGGGTTTTGAGGGTCAAGCAGTAGCCATTCTCGTATGTAATGTACCATTTGGCTTTGGGCAGGAAGTAGATTGCCTAGTTTTGTTAGGGCTGAGGACAGCAGAAAGTGGTTCAAGAAGACTTACATCATGAAGGGTCACAACAAAAAAGCTTCTTGGGTTGTATTTCAACTTATCATGGAACAACCAAATGCTCACGAGTCTGTGAGGAAAGAAGTGGCCATGCCATGGAGGGTAGTTATACTCACAGGTACAAATATTTCAAGGAGAAGGCAACATCTCTTTCCTTTATGCCCTGTGTGAGGCGTATGAATTGCCACCATCGAAAATCACATTGCCTAAAAATATGCCCCACAGAAATCATGGCTCTCTCAAGAAAACAAGCTGTTTTGTTTTTTTCCTGCCAAGCAAACACAACTGTGTGCCAGCTAGAAATTCAGCAGGTTTAGTGTTTCTCATAAATGCTTTGAGCTAAGCAGGTGACCTGTGAACCAGAATGTCCTTGCTGTTCTTCGTTCCTAGCCTTTTCTCTACAGTGCAAATATTGTTATGAGTTCTACAACAGTTTTCACACACATCTTGGTATGACTATAAACCAAAACTTAGGATGGGCCTTCACTGATCAAAGCAGTTCTGAAAGTCCCATCAACCGAGGTCAACTGGTGCGAAGAGCAGATAAAGTCCCACCTTAGTTTATGTTGGCTTTTCCTATAAAAGTATGTGCCATTCACTCCTGCAGTATCAAAAGTAGAAGGATTCAGTTTCTAAGGGCAACAGTTACTTGGCTGGCCTTGGTCTCTCAATCCAAATTGGGAAGGGAGGCATAACTCCTCTTTCTGCAGTGGCAGGAACTAGTAGAATTTCTCTGGGCTTGACAATATGAAGGGTTGGACAGAGCTTGGATGAGACCACCAGGGCTGTAAATCAGATGTATCATACTGTCACCAAGAATAGAGTTTGAGGCTTGAAAGAGACTGCACTTTGACCCCAACTCTTAACAATCCTTTTTTTTGGGGGGGGGTGCCTCCGAGTCATTGTTGACTCCTGGAGACTGCCTGGACTAGTCCCTGCAGTTTTCTTGGCAAGATTTTTCAGAAGTGGTTTGCCCTTGGCTGCTTCCTAGGGCTGAGGGAGAATGACTGGCCCAAGGTCACCCAGCTGGTTTTGTGCCCAAGGCAGGACTAGAACTCAGTCTCCCAGATTCTAGCCTGGTGCCTTAATCACTGCACCAAACTGGCTCTCTTAACAATCCTTACAATATACAAAACATAGTTTCATGGAGATACCTCACTCGTTTGCATACAAATAATTTAAAAAGTGATATTCTGGCCTACCTGGGAAGGCTACTCAGTAAATAATGAAAAATAATTCTGCTGGTCACATGGTTTCTGACAGGACCGGACACCTTCTAGAGCACTAAGGGATGGGCTTATTCACTTGAATGGGTCTACTTGTGATATAAGAGTCCATTTAACAGAACACAATTTAAAGGAAAAACCCAGGAGGCCTGGAGAAAAGCCACTCAAAAAACACTTTTGTCCCAAACCTCTTTCCTGGTCTCTTTAAACGCCCAAAAAACACGTCTGTCGCGCCGGGGCGGGTCTGCCTGTCTTTCTCCTCCTCCTCTCGGTTCCTCCCCGGCAGGTTGTCCCTCCGATCCTGTTCCTGGGACTCCGCCAGGTACCGGCCTCGCTCAGCGGCCAGATGTTGCAACCGGCACCCCCCGCTTCGGACTGTCGGCGGACTCATCCGTCTCCAGCCCAGACTGGACCTGGCCTCCAGCAGCCG